TTGGAGGCTGCGCTGGCTGACATTGCTTGTAGTTATAAGGTGTATACAGGTCATAACTTGCTTCTCGGTACCTCTCCCACCCCCTGTTTCCCCCCCGTGTCTCCTTTCTTCTCCCCTGCCTCCGGCTCTGGGTTCGTCCCAGTCCCCAGCGGTCTGCTCTCTGGGGTCGCCCGCCTCGGGGCAGTTCGGCCTTGCTTGCGCGCGGCCGGGCTCGCTGCGGTCCCTGGGGCTCCGGCGGGATGGCCCGCTCTGCGACGTCGCGTCGGTCTCCTTCGCCTGGTCGCTTTAGTTAGGGGCTACCCGTCTCCGCCCTTGCACCTTCCGCGTGACTAGCGCACGATGGGTCGAGCGGGGGCGCTGCTCAACTCGTTTGTTGGTGGGACGGTTGCAGCGGCCTTCGGCCGCACCTCCTCCTCCTCCTTCTCCTCCTCGTCCTCTTCCCCTCCTGTCTCGGAGTGTCGTCCCAGTCTGCCGTGTGCAGGCCTAGTGTCTCTGCTGGACGACCAGCTGGCACCTTTCAGGCTGGGGCCCCCTTCGCGTCCGCTCGGCCTCCCGTCTCTACTTTCCGCCAGGTGACGGCCGTTCATTGGCCACGCCAGCCAACCCGCTGCTGTGCTCACTCGGCTCTAGCAAGTCTGCACGGCGTCCTGCGCACTCGTCGCGCCGTGCAGGTCGGTGTGCTGCCTGCACCTTTCGGTGTGCGGCACTCGGCAGGCTGGCAGGTCGGTGTGCGGCGCGCCTAACAGCGGGGCCCGGTGGCTCACACCCTGGGGCCGTGCCCCCCGTTCCAGCTGCTTGGTTGCTTGCTTGCCTGCCTTCTTGCTGCACTCCCTTCTTCTCCGGGGCGTGTTCTGAGCACCCGGAATTGGTGCTGCCGTGAGTTGCCTCTCCTCCTCCTCCTCCTCCTCCTCCTCCTCCCCTCCTCCTCCTCCATACTCCTCCTCCTCCTCGCCCCCTCCTCTTCCTCCTCCGCTCCTCCTCTCCTCGCTCCTCCTCCTCCTCCTCTCCTCCTCCTCCTCCTCCTCCTCATACCCCTCCTCATCCTCCTCCTCCTCCTCCTCCTTCGCTCCTCCTCCACCTCCTCCTCCTTCCCCTCCTCCAGCTCGCACCTCCTCCTCCCCCGTCTCTCCTCCCCCTCCTTCCTCCTCCTCCTCTCCGCCTCCTCCTCGCTCCTCCTCCTCCTCCTCCGCCTCTTCCTCATCCCCTCCTCCTCGTCTCGCTCCCTCCTCCTCCTTCTCCTCCTCCTCCTCCTCCTTCTTCTGCCTCCTCCTGCTGCTCCTCCCTCCTCCTCCTCCACCTCCTCCTCCTCTCCTCCTCGCTCTTCTCCTCCTCCTCCTCCTCCTCGCTCCTCCTCCCTCGCTCCTCGATCCTCCTCCTCCTCTCCTCCTCCTGCTCCTCCTCCTCCTCATCCTCTCTCCTCTCCCTCCTCCTCCCCTCCTCCCCTCTCCTCCTCGCTCCTCCTACCTCCTCCTCATCCTCCTCCTCCTCCTCCATCCTCCTCCTTCTCCTCCTCCTCCTTCTCCTCCTCCTCCTCCTGCGAGTGCTAGGGTTCATGCGCTCGCCCGCTTGGCTCTGTGCGCGCTGCCCAGGGGATCCCAGCCCATCATCAGGGCATTCTTCTTTTTACAGCTTCGCTCTTTTCCCCTTCCTCCTCCTCCTCCTTGTCCTCTGCCTCCTTCTCCTCCTCCTCCTTCCCCACCTCCCTAGAGCGCTGGGGTTTACGCGCTCGCGCGCGTGTCGCTGTGATACGCGCTGCCCAGGCTTTCTCAGCCCATCGTCGGAGCAGTCTTCATTTTACAGCTGCCCAGTTTTTCCACTCCCTCCTCCTCCTCCTCCTCCTCCTCCTTCTCCTCCCCCTCCTCCTTCTCGTCCTTCCTCCTCCTCCCTTGCCCCTCCCCCTGGTAGGATGGTGTCTGGGTCTATCGTGCTTCCGCCGCCCATGGCTCCGCGAAAGCGGCCAGGAGCGGCAATGCCGCAATGCCACACCGGTTGTGCTCACCTCTACTCCGGCCTGGGTCAGGGGCCGCGGCTCCCAGGTCTGCCTGGCCCTCACACTCTCAGACGCTCCGCCTCGCGCAGGCTTGCGTGTCGCCGCTGGGCAACCGCCTGGCACACTGCAGGCCGGTGGCCTGGCCTTCTGTTGGCCTCTGGGCGGGGGCAGGCTTGGTGCCGCCGCTGGATGACTGGCGGGCACCCTGCAGGCCGGGGAGTCCTCTCTTTCGTGCCAGGCGACGACCGTTCATCGGCCAGGACAGCCACCCTGCCGCTTTGCGGGCACGGCTCTCGCAGTCCTGCACGCGGTGGCCTGCGCTCTTGCTGTGCAGGTCGGTATGCAGCCTGGGCCTTTCGGCGGACATTCGGCAGGCTGGCAACGCCTGCCTGGCCCTCACACTCTCACACACTTCGCTCCGCGCAGGCTTGTGCGCTGCCTCCAACGTGGCCCCAAGACGGCCCAAGAGGGCCCCCAGAAAGGCCGAAGATACCCCCTAGCCATTTTGGCTCAAGCCGTTCTTGTTCGAGATCCCTTCGACCGCAGATCATCCTCACTTTGGCAACTCATGTGATGGAGTCTTGAAGTGACAGGATGCTTTGTCGCACTTGAATGTGTTGCGATACTTGTGCTGCTGGTTCGTAACAGAGGACATGACAGATCCAACGCCTATTTGCATGCACCGGTCTTGCATCAAGGGATTTGCCTGTTGGTCACTTGGTGGCATATGGCGCAGAATGGCGAAACGTGCGATGGTGTCAACCGTGTCTGCTCTTATGTTGTCGCCGCCAACTCTTACATTGTACCGTTTTGGTTGAACTTGTGGGTTTGGTGGTCTGTAGACAACGATGCGTCGAAAGATGCTCGCGCCGCTATCCGCGTGTGTCTATTGTGCAGTTTCATGTTTTGCGTTTGCTCTTTTGTAACCGTTGTCGTGCAGATGGTCTGGCACCGCCTTCCACCATGCACGTTTATCGGTGTGCATTGCCATCAGGAGTGGCCGTTCATGCAGTTGTTTCCTGGAGTGACGGGGGTTCTCATCCTCGCAATCCATACCATCCTTGGTAGCGGCATGTTCTTAACCCAGCACCGGTCTTTCGTCTTCTGGCTGTTTGTATTCGTTGCACCGAGTCGTGCGTTTTTCGATATTCTGGCTCTTGTTACGGAATGGGGCGCCTTTTGGGGTTTCAGAGCATCTGCATTGTGCCTGCTGTACTTGTTTGAGCCTCTCATGTTGCATCGACTTCCCAATGTTGCGTTGCAGCCTATTCTCCGTACTCCTTCTGTAGACGATGCTGCAGTGGCAGGGCAGCGAGCGAACAGTTTTGGGAGAGAGAATACAGGAACAATTGGAGCAGTGGTTGCCGATGACGAGGATGTCGGCCAGCTGCTGGAGACAGCAGCATGTGACGGCCAGCGCCGAGAATTGTAGATACCTCTCGCCTGCCTGCCTGAGTGCAGCATCGGCACGAATCGTTTCTTCTGGCACGATTGCTGTGGCCCCCCCCGGAAAAGAAGCCGAAGCGACTCCAGGACAGCCCAGAACGGCCCAGAGAGGCCTCCCAAGCGGCCTCCGATGGCGCCAGACCCAAATTAGTCCCCTGCAGAGGCGCCGAGGACTCCCCCCCGCGGGCCGCCCCCAAGAGGGCGCAGGACAGCCCAGCAGGCACCCTCGGAGGCCCCGACGACCCCTTCCCCAGGCGCCCCCAGGAGGCCCTCAGGGGCCCCCCAGCCTGCAGCTTTCAGGAGGCCCCGCGGCGCCCCCACGAGGCCACGGGGAGCGGCCCGGTACGCCCGAAGAGGCTCCCCTCCTCGCTTCTTCCCGCCCTCCCGCCGCTCCGGCCTCTCGCCCAGACTCCTCTCATTCCGCCTTCCTCTCCCTCCTACGATGCTGCTCGGGCAGCTGCACGTGATCTTCGGCTTCCCGCACAGGCGGGCCGCCCTGTCGGGTAGGGCGGGACGTCGTCGTCGTCGTACGCTTGCCTCCTCCGTAGACCCCTCCTCAGAGGGCACAGTCGAGGCCCCCAGAGTTTGTCAAGATGGCCCAGGGTCTCCAACACAGCTCTCCCCCTTATGCGCACCGAGCACATCTCCCCCCCTGCTTTCCAATGCGCCACCCAGGCAGCGCCGACGACGCTCCCACCCGGAAGCGGATGACACGAGATCCGAGAGAGGCAGCCCCACATCGGGCCATGAGGCGCAAGGCAGCCCCCCACACGTCCACCCAAGTCAACCACGCCTACGGAATCGTCCATACCCTGTCCAGGGATATCCCACAACGGCTCCAGAGGGAAGCCGACAGCACAAGAATTGTGGAGAGACCCTCTTTCAGAAAAACACCCCAGGCGATACTAAATCACTCACTCCCCTCTCTTCCTCACCCTCCGTTCTCCGCCTGTCTCGCTCCTTTTTCACTTTTTCGGCTCCTCATTCAGTGCCTGCCTCACAGCTGCACTTGCTTGCACTCTTCACTCGGTGCGCACATGTTCCAAGGTCGGGGTTGGTGGAAACATCAGGTCTGATGGTTCTGGGGCTGATAAACATGTCTCCAGGGGCTGAGCAAAATGAGCAACTTCTTGCGCGATCCTTCCGAGCCGCCAGAAGATCGGGAGATCTCACACCGTCTGGTGACGGACCGACTGGTGACTCCGAATCCCTGTCGCCTGAATTTGTTACTCTTCCAGGCCGTCCAAGTTGGGTCGAAGAAGATGGTCGGTGGATCGCGCCGCATCGGCGATGCTTTGCCGATGCGGCCCGAGGCAGAGTCCGATTTCCCCCATGCCTACCTACCTCGCCGATGCATCGCAGACGTCGCCGATGCATCGCCGATGCGTCGGCGATTCATCGGCGATGCAGCCCGATCCTCAGACCCCATCTGCTCGGAACCCCTCTGTGCGGCCTCCGGCCCCTGGAGGCCCTGCGCCCCGGCGCTCGAGAGGCACACCCTCGGAGCACGACCCCCCGCCGCCCCCCCGCCCCCCCCCCCCTGGAGCGGCCCGCGCTCCACGAGCGGGCGCCCGCCGCGCGGTGTGGCCACTGGCCCGCGGCCGCGGACCTTCCGAGGAAGGCCCCGAAGAGCGCCCGGGAGGCCCCGGCGAGGGAGCGCCCGTCGCCGCTGGAGAGCTCGGGCGCCGGGCACCACAGGGAGGCAGCGGCGCCCTGGGCGGCCGCGGGCCCGGTGGGAGAGGCGCTCCAGGAAGGGCCTCTCGCCTGCGAGCGGGTCGAGCGACAGAGCGGCACCTCTTCCTCGGCGGAGGGCGGCGGCACCTGGCATGCGCGCGTTCCCCTGGCCTCCCGGCCCCCCGCCCTGCCGAGCCCCCCCCCCGTCGCGGGTGAGGGGAGGGGGGCGCTCAAAAGTACGGCGCGGGACTTTCGAGGGGATCGCCTCAGAAGTGTAATTCGGAGAAGTCTCTAGCGAATCGTTTTTGGGGAGCGCATGCCTCCAAAGCACGATCGGGCAATTGTACTTTTGAGTGGAGTGGGGGGGCACTCAAAAGTACTACGACCTGGGGCCGCTGGCCGGGGCCTTCGGAAACGCTGGGCGCGGGCGTCGCCGCGCGGCCGCGTCGGCGAGTCCAGTTGCTACGTGCCCAAAAGTATGTCCAAAAGTACGCTCAAAGGACCCTTTCCCTGAGCTCCGACGTTGCAACAAAGATTACCACATCGCAGAAAATCACGCCAGGAACCCCGGACCCCATCTTCCCGCGTCATTTCTCGAGCCGGATCGATCTGTGAGGGTCCTGCAGGCATGAGGATCCGAAGTGGAGCGAACACGCCCGCTGTGAAAAAAATGCAGCGCCAGGACCTCCGGGCTCCTTCCCGGGGCCCTGCCTGGCTTGCCTCCCAGGGGGCACGGAGGCCACGACCGGCGGCCCCGGCCCGGCCAGGGGCCCCGGGGTGCCGCGGGCCACGCCCCGGGGGCCCCGGGCCACGGCCAGAGGCGGCGGGCCACCGCTCCAGGGCCACGCAGCCCGCCCGCTGGCCGCAGAGGCGTCCCCCTCTCTGTCCAGGACGCCTCACACCGGAGACGACGGCAGGGGGCGGGCAGCTC